TTAACAATCTATTCTATAAATATTTCATGCAATGATATAAATGTGAAGAAAAAAGAAAAAGGAAAAAGTTTTAATTGAAATCATTATTTTCTAATTGGATCAAAATGTGGATGTTATTATTAAATTGTCTAAAAAGTCTTTTCTATTAATTCTTTTAAATTACTGTAATATTTTGATTTAAAAAAGTAAATACATAATTTAGAAAAAAAGGAGAAGCAGAAAGATGCAAAAATGTAATGAAAGAAAATTAAATTTTAAAAATTTTACAAATTTTGTATCATTTTTTTTTTTTTGTTGATAAGAATGAATAATTTTTATATTTTCTTAAACTATTGGAGCAATGAAATACTTTACAAGCAGTTTTTTTTTCTCTTTTTTCTTGTATATTTCTCTTAGTTTCATTAATTTGTCAAATATTAAAATTTCAAAATTAAAGATTTCAATTTATTCGGACATTTCAAAAAGTTATTCAATGGACAAACTTTTGATTTATTTTACAATTTTTTTTCTTTTTTTTGAGAAAATAATTTATTTCTTCTTTGTGAGTTTTTGAAATTTCCAGAAAAGAAAAAAAGGCGAATAGGAAATGAATAATCGAATCAAATTTATAATTTAATTATTTTGGTTCGTGACAAAAAAAACACACACACACACAAACAAAAACACAGTTACCATAAACGATTTCAATTACAGTAAACTCAGCAATGCATATCGAAAAATATGCAACGGCAATTATTGCTAAACTAAAAAATATAATTGCAATTACTGTAAAAATGACACATCAAAAAAATACGATTGCAATCACTGTAAAGTTATATAGTACGTTTGCTTATAAAGGATTACGGTATGTTTGACAAAAAAAAACAAACAATTATTTACTTTTAATTAACACATTTAGCAGCATTTTATGATGGAAAAAAAATAGAAGAAATGAATAGAATGATTTAGAAATGTGTAGGATGGTGGAAAATTACGGTAAAATTAGAAATTAAAATTGTCGATAAATTGGAAATTAAAAAAAGAAAAAAAGTATTTACTTGAAAAAGATTACAAATTCGTGTTAATTTCTTTTTTATCTATACAGGTATGTAAGTAACTAGTTTTTTTTCTTTTTAATCTTTCCGCTCTATTTTTTCTTTTTTTTTGTAAAAATTTAATTTACAAATGTCAATAATAGAATGTATTATGGTAGAATACGGTTCATTATACAAAATTATTATTTAATCCATATAATTTCATAATTTAGGAACGTTTCAAATAATTCCAAAAGAAAAACAGAGGGAAAGAGAGAGAGAGAGAGAAAGAAAGGATGGCGATGAAAAAAACAGGAAAGACAAAAAAAAAAATTCCATTTTTTAAAAATTCAAAATTAAATTACACTTTTTAAAGAAATTAAAGCATTATTTATAGTTTAAACTTAATAGAATACAATAAAATGGTTATTAATGGGAGAAAAAATTTTTGAAAAAATGAAAAAAAGAAGAGTAAAAAATGAAATATGTTTATTTAATAATAGAAACAATTGTTAATTATAATAAACTTATGTAATTTAATTAAGTATATAATTTCAATTTTACTAGAACTAAAATATTTTCAAATGAATGTTTATTTTAACCGGAAAATTAATTCCTGATAGTAGAATTTTCCGAATTTTGCATTGGAATAATTGCAAAATTAACTGGAATTTCTTTTTTTGAATATTATTAAAATTTCTTTGATTAATAATTTCTTTTTTCTATTTTTTCGATCAAATTTCCAATTGAAAGTTATACATAAATTTATTTTTTTCTTAAAAAAAATGACATTTTTACAACTATTAATGAATTAATTTATTTATAATAGAATAAAGAATGAAAAATTTAATTTAAAAAAAAAATAAATAAATAAAATGAAATAAAAGTAATCATTGATATTGTTTGCATTCATTTTGTACCTTCTGTATTTGTCACTTTTCCGGAATCTGTTTTAACTCGTTTGTGCTTGGTACGACGATTCTGGAACCATACTTTAACCTGAAATAGGTAATATTTCACCTAACTATAGGTAATATTTTACCTAAATAAGATTTCATCAATAATGATGAAACCTTATTTATGTGTACAAATAATGCTTTTTTCTCAAATATTTCAAGAAACATTATGTAAATTCTTTGGAATGCTAAATAATTTAAAATTTTGAAAATTAATTAATTAATAAAATTTTTTTCTCATCTTATAGCTCAGGTTTAATTTTTCATTTTTAAAACTTAAATACAAGGGAAAAAATCAAGTTATTAAATTACGAGATGATGACTGTAAAAAAAAACAAAAAGAAACGAAAAAAGCTGTGGTAGCAAAATGAAAAAGGATTTGTTATTTCTAGTATTCATTAAAAAATTAATTAACTAATTAAATAATTAATTAATCGCAATCAAAATCATCAAATTTCATTTCATTTTTTTCCTTAAAAATCAAATTTGATGAATTTTGAGCAGTAATAATTTCAATGATATTACAATGTCATATCATTTGTTTTTAATTGAATTTGATATCAATTAAATTACAAATAAATTAACAAACAAAAATTTAATGCCCAAATTAAAATTCATTCGAGCAATTTGAACGGAAAAATTTTTATTCAAAATTTTTAATTAATTACATATTATAATACATAGTATTATATGCCAATTATATGGCTATCTAATAAGCCAATTAATTAGCATTTAATTGTCTATTAAGTATTATTTTGTCCGTATCATTTCTTTTTTTTTTTGTTTCCATTTTTGTTTGTTCCTTTTCCACCAATTTTCAACATACTAACTTTTAATTAATTGCATGCTATAATACACAGTATCGTATGCTAATTATATAGTCATCTAGTAAGCCAATTAATTAGCATTTAATTATCTGTTAAGTGCTATTTTTCAATAATCTCCGATCTTCTCTTTATATTTATTCCCTTTCATTCTTTTTTAATTTTAAAAATTTTTTCCAATTAATATTAAAAGTAAAATTAATACAATTTAAATAATTTTTATGAGAGACTTTTGTTTTTGAATTATTTTAAAAAATTACTATCAGAATTATTTGTATTTAAATTTAAATTATTTCATCCCTACAACTTCTTCCACAATCTTTCTCTCTTTTTTTTTCTTTTCTTCTTCAATTACTTTGTCAAATCTTGTCGATTAATTGTCATTTCGTTTTTTTTTTCCTGTATTTTATTGTTTACTTAACGATTTCAGAACAAACTACTATGGTAAGTTATACCAATATATCCCTTTTTTTTCTTCCTCACTTTTTTTCCTCTCTCCCTCTCTCTCTCTCTCTCTCTCTC